TGCTTCCATTGCGGGGAACCAGAACACACCTACCGCCGATGCCCATACCGATGACTCGGGCTGCGCAGGTTTCACTCGTAGAATTCACGGCCCCGTTATGGTGAACGCCCTCGAGTGATCCAGGAGTAATTGCGACAACCTCAGTCCCCCAAGCCTGCGTCCCGCCGAGAGTTTCGGTCGCCGTCACCACGACGTCCAGTTTCGCCGATGCACCGACCCCGACGTGAAAACCTGGCCCCCTGTCTCGTCGGAAAAACTAAGTGCGGCAACGCCCGGGGTGGCGTTGCCGAAGACGACCGAAATAAAGAGCCTCTGAGAATGCCGGAGCGCTTCCACTCTCTCGACGCGACGTATCATAACGACACCCCTGCAACGGTGTCCAACAACCTTAACGTCGTCATCGATGGCCACAACGGATCAGCAACCGTGGACACCGAAGCAGACTACTCAGTCTTGTGTGGGAGGATCTCCCGCCACCTTCGAAAAGTCATGACGCCGTGGGATCGACCTCGAATACGAACCGCCGGAGGAGACCTCATTACACCAATCGGAAGATGCACAGCTCCCGTCCAGATTCACGGTCAGACGTGTCCTGTGAAGTTCGTCGTTCTGCGAGACTGTGCGAGGGATGTTATCCTCGGAATGGACTTTATCTGCGAGTATGGCGCCGTCATACAACTCAGGGCAAACCATTTGGCGCTGCGAAAGACTGTTCTGCCGCCGGTGGAGGCCAACACGACGTCAACCGCTGTCCAAGTTATACCCGATCTTGTAAACCTGCTGCCGCGGTCGATTGTTTTCGTCACCGTCATAAAAAGCGCAACCATGCATGGTGAAGCTCTTCTGGAAGGCAGGGTGCAACCGGTCCTTAAAAAAGGAACTGGCGTCGCACGAGGCGTAATGCATCTCCAAGAAGGACGTACAACCTTTCTCGTGACAAACTATCGAGAGCAGTCGCAGCCCCTATCGAAGAGTACCACCTTGGGCCACGTAAAGGAGCTTCAGGCGCCAGCCGCGGTCACCGGAATCTCCGAGGAAACCTCGTCGTCACAACAGAAGAACACGTCGCCGCAGCAGCTCGACGTCCACTCCGAGCTCCCAGCTCCTAACCGCCGGCAACTGGTTGATCTCCTCGCCGAATGCAGTGACTGTTTTGCCACGTCGTCGAAAGTTCACCAAACACCAGTAGCGAAACATCGCTTTATTACCGACGACGACGCGCTCCCTGTACACCAGTCGCCGTATCGAGTCTCCTTAAGAGGTAGTTGATTCAAGATCATGTCCAGGAAGTACTAAACGACGACATCATTCAACCCTCAAAACGTCCGTCGGCTTTCCCAATTGTCCTTGTTAAAAAGAAGGACGGAACCTTGAGGTTCTGCGTAGACTATCGTCGACTGAACGCTGTGACTAAGCAGAACGTCTATCCGCGTCCCGCATAGACGATATGTTAGACCGACTGCGCCACTCCCGTTATTTTTCGTCGATGGGCCTCAAGAGTGGTTACTGGCAGATTAAAGTCGAAGAACGTGACCGCAAGAAAACTGCGTTCGTCACTCCCGACGGACTGTACGAATTCAAAGTGATGGCGTTCGGACTTTGTACAGCACCAGCAAACTTCCAGCCACCTCAGACGACATGAATCCATCAAGACCGCCGGCTTGTCACGCAAGCCAACGAAGTGTCAGTTCGCCAGTAGTGAACTAAAGTTCTCTGGCCACGTCATGAACAACAAAGGTGTTTTTCCTGCCCCTGAGAAGACCCAAGCCGTAGCTGCATTTACGCCGCCGTGGGATAAAAAGGCCGTGAGAAGATTCCTCGCACTCTGTGCCTACTACAGACGGTTTGTTTGGAACTTCGCAGAGCTTTCCGCACCGCTGACGCATTTCACGAAGGACGCCGTAAAGTTCGAATGGACAGAAGAACACCAGCTGTCATTTGATGAGCTCAAACGAAGACTCCAGACGCCCCCGATCCTTGGCCATTTCGACCAGTTCGCTGAGACGTCCGTCTGGACGCCAGTTCACACGGACGCCAGGAACACCGGGCTTGGCGCGGTTCTAGTCCAAATGCAAGACAGGACAAAGTGAGTCACCGCATACGCGAGTCGGACGCTGTCTAAGGCAGAGAAGAACTACCCAACGAAAGAAAAGGTGTGCCTTGCTGTTGTCTGGGCAACGAAAAAGTGCCCTTGATATTTGTATGGAAGTCCATTTCACGTGGTCACAGACCACCACTCGCTCTGCTGGCTCGCGGATCTGAAGGACCCCTCCGGACGCCTCGCCTTGTGGGGCCCACGACTGCAGGAGTTCGACATGACCGTGGCGTACAGGTCCGGCCGGAAGCACAATGTCGCCGACTAACTGTTAAGGGCTCCGGCCGAGACCGGCCCTGCCTCCACGTTAAACGACAACGATGAGTGTTTCCTCGGCGCTCTGAATGTCAGCGACATGGCAGCACCCCAACGAGACTGCTCCAAACTGCGAGCCTCATTGAACACCTAGAGGGACTAGTGAGTACGGTTCCCTGTGCTTTCTTACGAATACTGCCCACCTTCTTCATACGGCAAGGGGTGTTATACAAAGAGAATTTCGTCAACAACAGCACGGCATGGCTGTTGGTTATTCTTCCCAGTCTTCGAAAAGAAATATTCCAAGGATGCCAGGACGAGCCGACGGCTGGACACCTTGGCTACTGTACGACGCTCGGCATGATTCGGAAAAAGTTCTACTAGCTGAGGCTTCCCAAGAGCGTTTACCACTACACTAGATCATCCCACGAGTCTTCTGGATCCGATTTATCTCCCGTCCACGCCGTTGTAGAAAGTCGGAATGGATTTACTTGGCCATTTCCTGCCGTCAGCGTTGGCAAACCGCTGGATAATCGTCACCACAGATTATCTCACACGGCACGCCGAGACGAAAGCCTTTCCATCAAGTATGGCTGTCGAAGTCGCCAAGTTTTTCATCGAGTTCATTGTGTACCGGCACGGCGCCCCCGAAGCCCTTATTACAGACCGTGGATCATCGTTCATGGCCCAGCTGACGCAAAGGATCCTTCGTCTCAGTGGCACCGGCCACCATGGAACAATTGCGTACCGTCGGAAAACAAATGGATAAACAGAACGGCTAATCAAAACCATTGCCGACATGGTCTTAATGTATGTCGACGTAGATCACAAGACTTATGACGAGGTGTTACCCTATGCCATGTTTGCTTACAACATGGCGGTGCAAGAGATTACAAGGACCCCGTTCCAGCTGGTGCATGGCAGAAACGTAACGACCATGCTCGACGCAACGCTACCCCACTAACCAGCTGACGATGGGAGCCCCGACGCCCACGTGGCTGCTCAACGAGCCGATGAAGTTCGCCAGCTCGCCCGACTCCGAATTCAATACTAACAACGTGTCGACGCTACCCTGTACAACCTTTGCCAGATCGACGTTCGATCGCTTCAAGAGACCGTGTTTATATTTAGAACCCGAAACGACAACGCGGTTTAAGCGAGAAACTCGTGAAGCGCTACTTCGGACCCTACAAAGTAGTTTGTCGACCCTGGGATCTGAACTACGAGGTGATGCCCGACGGAACACCGACTTCATCACGCCGCCCTCTACGACCGAAAGTCGTCCATGTCATACGTCTCAAGCCGTACTACGGGCGATAAGACTGTGAACTGTGATCTTGCTCGGCAACGCGCGCGGCAATATTAAAAAGAAAAGAAAAACCATCTTAATTTGTTTAGTTAGGAAGAAAGCTCCATTTGCTTTTTGTTTCAAGTTCTCACTTGCTTAAATAGGACAATACGTTTATTTCGCGTTCTGATTTGCCTTACGTAACTAAATAAGTGGAAATTAGAAATAAGGCTCACCGCCCTCATTGCTCATAAGAGCAGTGCTCGCTGTCAGTGTTCAGACTGATGTAAATATTTTTTTTGTTTGATGATTACTTTAGTTAAGTATGAAGACATGAAAATAGAAAGATAGCATCAAATGCTCACTAAATGATAAATGAAAATCTAGCTTTAAAAATATGTTTGCGCGAAATACTTGAGTTAAATATCAAACTGCTCGAATTTAAATCACAATTTAAATCATAATTTAAATAATGACTAAGTCGTCTCGATTTTTATTCCCCACCCTAGTTCATACATTTGTTTCTTTCTATAACAAGCGAAGGGAACAAGCTTCCAAATGAGATTTTGTCCATCACCTCTACAGAACTGTTTTTCAATCATTTATGCTGTTTCATGTTTACGTTTTTCCCCCTTTTACTTAGCAATTCAACTGAAACTTGTGCATGCTCATGTCAATTTTGTTTCTATTTGTATTCTTTTAAATGTATAAAAGTCTCCTCTTCGCAGTATTACATGTTAGGCGCTGCATGACACCCTAATAAAAAAATATACCAAAGCATAGGCAGTACTTGATCTTATATAATATTTTAGAAGTGGTGCCACAAGACAAGCTTAGAGAATTGCAAGACGGTGGAGTTTTATCAAGGTGAGCATAATCTTCTCTGATATGGCTTCCCCGCAATAGTATCTATGTTGGTTGACGGTAGGTAATAGTAATATAATTAAAATGGCGCGGTATAATGTTAAGCACACGTATCGCTCACCTGGGTCTGTTTGTGTTTCATTTCTAGTTCCTATGGCTTGGGACGCCACATTTAAAGGAGTGCAGGATGGGAATAAGAAATACTCTACATATCGTTTTGAGCACATGGGGCAACTCAATCAAATTGTACAAGATAAGACTTACCAAGCAATGCTTTATTGGTAAATTTTATCTCTTTTAACTATAAACACAGATAATCATGCCTCTTCAAGGGTTTATGCCACTTTTCAGATAAAGTGAACCTGCTCTTAGTAAATATTTTTGCTTTATTATCAAGGAATACGCAAAATAGCGACGTTTCAAGATCTTTTAGCACCTCATGCTGTTTACGCGATAGAAGACGTGACACCGGGGAGAGCTTCCCCTAAAAAGTCAGTTCTAATTTGAGCCTTCATCTTCATCATCGTAATAAGAATTGTCTGTAGTGGTCGTTATCGTTGTTGTGGTTGTTTGGGGTGTAGGCAAAGTCGGTAGCTGAGGCAGATCAGTGCTGTAATTCCCACACTTGTCTCTGAAACATATCTGAAAATAAAACGAGGTTTCGAATTAGTAAATCAGCACGAGCTTTGTTTTTGAAAGCAGCGCATCGCACGCTCATTAAAATTAAAAGAATGGAATAATCAATCTGTGTGAATAATAGATCATCGCTATGCTTAAAAACCGTCCAAAATGTCGCGAAAATCTACTTGGCAACATGAACAACTTCTTTTTTTATTTCTGCAGTTTGTTGTTATAACATTTTATCATTATGGCATCAAACCGTTTTTCAGCGTGGAGTATTTTCGCGTTATAGGATAAACTCTTAGCCTAACGTTTGCAGGTTAGGCTAAAAAAAACATGCGCTCTTTCTCAAAAACTCGCCGTCGTTGAATGTCGCCGTGCATGTGTCGGACAGTGGATGCGCACTGTCGTATGGAAGCATCGGGATCGTGAGGCGGTTTCATAAGAAAACACAGGAAATATTTGAAGGTCAGGTCATCAAAGCGCCTTCAGTGTCTTTGTCATCGAGGAAACTTCAGTACCTGAATTATTTTTACTAAACTGATTTTTTCTGTCCATAATAATAGTTTTTTTGTTCAATCTTGTATTAGATTTTTATAATGTTTTATTAAGTACCCCCCCCCCCCATATTGAACAAACAAAACAAACAAAGAATTTACTCCAGCAACATTTGCAACGATATTCCTTTGATATATTATTGTTTTCCTTGTGTTTCTTTTTTTTTCTTTTTTTTATTAAAACGTCAGTTGAGAATAGAGCTTCAGTCCAGATTTCTACCAGTCCCCTGCCTTTCACGCTTACGACATTTAAGGCAAAAACTTAATAAAATTTGTTTTCGCTTTTGTTAAATATCAACTTGACTCAGTAAGAACCTGTACTCAAGGAAAGATATAAGAACAAAAGAGGAAGGCAGAGAGGTGAACTGGAATAATTTTTCCGTTTGGCTACACTGTGCAAGGAGAGACGAATAGGGACATTAAAGAGAGGATTGAAAAAAGGAGGAAAAAATGAAATGTGTAAAATTTACACGAGCCGTGACCACTATGGACACGATACTGTTCATGAAAACCAAGGTTTATCGTCTATAAACAGGAGCCAGACCTGTTTGCTTAAAAAAAAACAAGAGGTTTTGTGGCTCTTGCTTCTTTATGTGGCTCAACCAAGACACCAAGAAGCTTTGCCGCAGAAGAGGGCAGGCTATCAAGGTATACCAATGTGCTTTTTACAGCGGAGCTGTTAAGGGCTAGTTTCCCCAGGATCGCGTCCCTTGCAAAGAAATGTCAACACAAAACTCTGGTTGCTGCCATCGCTCACAGATGGCGGTAGCTGTCCAGACCGTTGTAGAATTATAGAATGTATAGCAAGTGACATTAATGAACTAGGGAGGGGGTGTGAGATTATTATACTAGGAGACATGAATGCACACATTGAAGATATGGACGGGTACACGGATTCGACAGGTAACATGCTGCTAGATATGTGTGAAAGACATGACTTGGTTTTATGCAACAGTACCGAGAAGTGTGAAGGGCTCATAACTTGGGAGGTAGGGAGTTTGCATTCGACGATAGATTATTCACTAATGTCGCATAGGATGTATGATAGGCTAAAGGTAATGAACATAGATGAACTTGGGGTCAGAAGCCTGGGTAATGATCACAAACGGATCGAGCTGAGCTTTACGAGAGAAACCGGGAAAGGAAAGATGCAAGATGAACAACCAGATAGGATCTTTTACTCGGAGAAGCAACTGGAGATAGCAACCAAACAAATTGAGGAATTAATTTCTGGCGATACCACAGCAGAATCGACTTACACAAATTTAATGATATTATTTGAGCTAGAGCTATCCAAGGTCCGACCTAGAGAAAAAGGAAAAGGAAGGCATAAACCCAAGAGCTGGTGGGATGGGGAGATTAAGAACGCCATAGAGAGACGCCAGGAAGCATCCAGGGAACACAGACATTCCAAGCAAAGGGGGGAAGCAAAAGCCGAAGTAGACAGAAAATGGGATAATTTCATAATTTATAGAAGGGAAGCATCCTGTTTAATCAGTGAGAAAATGAGAACAAGGGGGTCCCAATGGTTGTCAAAAGTGCACAAAAAGGATAAAAAGGCAGCCAAGAAATTTTGGAAACATCTGAACTCCATGAGTAATAAGACAAGTTTAGAACAGAGGTTTATAGTTACAGCTCAAGGTACTCGACTGGAAGGGGATAAGGCAATGCAGCATATAGGGACAATGATGGCGGAAAAATTTAAAGACCGAAGGAATGAGGCACATGCTTTATCGCAGGAGAACAGACCGGTAAGTGCTATGGATTCGTTCGGACAAAGAGAATGGGAAGGGCAGAGAAAAGAGTTCCTAGTAGCACCTCGACAGGCCCTGACGGTATTCCCATTATGTTAATCAAGAACTTGGGCCCAAAATCTAAGCAAGCATTAAGAGAGGCAGTGAATAAAATGGTAACGGATGGGAAAGCCCCCGATGAATGGAGACTAAGCAGGATGAGCATGATATATAAACGAAAGGGGGACAAAGCGGACATAAACAACTATCGTCCTATAACGGTGACGTCAGTGATTTACAGGGTGGTGATGCAGATTATAAAGGATAGACTGCAGGCATGGGTGGAGAGCGAGGGGGTGCTGGGGGAGCTGCAGAATGGGTTCCGGAAGCAAAGGAGGTTAGAGGACAATCTGTTCTCTTTAACGCAGTGTATCGAAATAGCAGAAAAGGAACAAAGGCTCCTATGGCTAGCGTTTCTGGATATCAAAGGAGCCTGCGACAGTGTAATTCAAGAAAATTTGTGGGACATACTGGGTACATTAGGGGTAGAAGCTGGAGTAACTAATATTTTAAAAGATATATATAATAGCAACAAGGTGCTTATAAAATGGGAAACAAATGTATCGGAGCCTATAGAGATAGAGCGGGGGCTTAGGCAAGGCTGCCCTTTGTCGCCTTTGTTGTTCATGTTATACTTACAGGGATTGGAGAACAGATTAGAGCGGAGCGGGTTTGGCTTCAACCTTTCTTTCATCAAACAAGGTGAATGGATTAAACAATCACTACCGGGGCTGATGTATGCAGATGATATAGTGCTAATGGCCGACAACAAAGAAGATTTGCAGAAATTAATGGATATCTGTGGTACAGAGGGAGATAAACTAGGTCTTAAATTTAGTCAAGAAAAATCGGCAGTGATGATTTTTAATGATAAAGATGGTGGCGAGCATAGGATACAAGAGGTCATGTTGGAGGTAGTGGATAAGTACAGGTATCTTGGGGTATGGATAAATAATGGTGTTGAGTATCTAACGGAGCATGAAAAACATGTAGCGATGAAAGGTAGCAGGAATGCAGCCGTCATGAAACATAGGGCTCTCTGGAATTACGGTAGGTATGAAGTGGTGAGGGGGATTTGGAAAGGGGTCATGGTTCCCGGCCTGACCTTCGGCAATGCGGTCCTGTGCATGAGACCAGATATTCAAGCAAAGTTAGAAATTAAACAGCGGGGCGTAGGTAGGCTTGCTTTGGGAGCTCATGGAAATACGCCGAATCAGGGGGTACAAGGCGACATGGGATGGACGTCATTCGAGGGCAGGGAAGCTAGCAGCAAGATAGAATTTGAGGAGCGTTTGAGGGAAATGGAGGAAGAGCAGTGGGCTAGGAAAGTTTTCAGTTATTTGTACATGAGGAATGTAGATACCAAATGGAGAAAGCGAACTAGAAAATTATCAAGCAAATATTTGGGCGGCAGTGGGGGCGCCAACCAGGAATTACGGGTTAAGAAAAGGATAAAAGAAACAGAGAAGGGTCTGTGGGAAACGGGTATGCAGACAAAACCAGCACTGGAGACGTACAGAATGTTCAAACAGGAAATTTGCAAAGAAACTATCTACGATAATTCTAGGGGAAGCTCTTTGTTGTTTGAGGCCAGGACAGGAGTATTGCGGACTAAGACGTACCGGGTTAAGTACCAGGAGATGGACACTTTATGTAGTGTGTGTGTGGAGCAGGAGGAAACGGCTGAACACTTAATACTTTTCTGTAAAGGGCTTCACCCAACAGTTAACAGTGACCGGGCGGATTTAATCAAAGCATTGGGTTTTAAAGACAGTGAAGGAAAAATAGACTTTACACGGGTAAAAATAACCAAGCGGAGGTTATCAGACTGGTGGCTAAAATCGAGGCAGGGGTGAGATTTAATCTTGGAATTCAAAACATATAATTAGATTTATAATGTTGGCTAGGTGGCGCAAGCCACCGCCCGATTCACAGGGTTTAGCCAGATCCATCCATCCATCCATCCATCGTTGTGTTTGCCGTTTGACCGCTTGCCGCCGTCGCTCATAGAGCGCGGCATTTCATCGGAGGGAGAAGAGCGGGAACGGAACGAGCGGCTATGTTCGCGGCAGCGCGAATAATTCCGCAACCGTTTCGAGGCCGCTATCGCCTCAAGTTCGACTGCGTCTAGCGCTTCAGACTCCCTTGCGAAATAAGAGCAGATCGCTCGCCTGGAAAGCCACTGCCCAGAACAGAAGCTACAGCTCCGCTGCTCTTCTTTCTTCACCAGAGTGGAAAGGCTGAAAGTTTTCAGTTTTGCTTTTTCTACATCGTCAACACCATAATCGCAAATGATCTGCTGAATTGTTTCAATTACATCACAACTCGGACACTGGCGTTCTGGCTTGATCAATGTGGCAAAGGAACTTTGGTGAAAATGCTCAACCAAGTGTTAGTCAGTGAATGACACTCTCTCCGCCTTGGCATGTCACGATGAAGGTGTAATGATAGATATCAATCTACGGCATAGAGGAGTGCGTACAGATGTGCAGCAGTATGCGATATATATCTTGTTTGTTTGTTTTTTTGACGACGTGCTAATTGATAAACAAAGGCATTTTATTTTGGTAGTCTTGTACTGTGTTACATGAAGTCAGGAAATGTGATGATTTTGCACCAGCATCTTCTTGGGCTTTTTGAATTACTACTGATTCCGGTGTTTTAGAAGATG